CCTGGCTCTCAGATGGATTAACTTGGGTAGGAAATTCCAGATTCAATTTCAACATCTCCTCTTAGAAGAATGTTTCAGGGAGCGGCAAAAAGGACTTTTTGGAGATAGACCATCAGTGAGAATAAGTGAAAACAGCATATGGTTCTCATACAAAAGCCGTGGGTCTTGGTGATACCACAGAAGCCTCCCCCAGTGCCCACGTGTGGACTAAAACACCCCGGGAACACTTCCTGCAGGTCACAGGGACCTCTGCACAGCCTCAGGCGGTCAAGTCCTGGAACTTGGGCCTGGGGGGTGAGGAGTCCTGTCACCATGGCCTGAGGCCGCGGGAGAGGCGCCCCTCCTGCCCCGTGTCTCAGTCCCTGGCCCCATGGGGAGCTGCCTGTCAGCCGGGTGTGGTATTCTCGGGCAGTTGAGAGTTGATGCAGTGGGTGCGCCCATTTCCCCACGGGAGCCTGAATGGGCAAGTCAGGCTGAGCTGGTCTGCCCCAGAAACTGCGAAAAGAGTTACACTCCAGTCTGGCCTGCTGCGGCTCTAACTAGCTTTACCAGAAAGGCCCGGGGTTAGGGAGAGCGAGACTGATGAGCCATTTTAAGAGGCCCCTAGTTGCCTGGGTGGCTCTGTTCCGAGGGTGCCTGATCGCTCTGCCAAGAACCCGGGAGAGGAAGAAGTGGGGAAGGGACTTACGCTGCAAACCCAGTCACCACCAATGCTCACCAGGCTTGACACTGGGGCTTGGGGCCCAAGACCTGCATCCTTTCTGTTCCCATTATTCTATGCCCCTTTCCCCGAGGCGCCCTGCCTCCAGGTCCCGTGTGCCCCCTACACGCTGTGCTGCTTCTCTGAGGAACCACACAGACTCAGCTAGGCCGCGGCGGCTGCACTTCCCTTCACACAAAACGCTCCGGCTGCAGCTCTGCTGACAGTGTGAATATGGTCTTTACAGAGATGAGGTCCCTCCGCTCAGAGGCTTGGTGCCGCCGAGTTAGTGTTGGCCTGTGCTGTGGGCAGAGCCGCCCTTTCAGAAGGGGGGCCAAGGGAAACATGGCCTGGGCACTCTGCGCTGTTCCAGAGGGCGGGCTCTGCCCACTGCCGCCTGGAAACGCAGTTCCGTTGACAAAAAGATTTCCATCCTCCATTTCAATATATCTTTGTGGCCCTTTCCACTGAAGTTCTGACTTCTAAGATTTGCCTTTATGGGAAACACTGATCAGTAAATAGTCTTACATTTTGTCTTGGAAATTGAAAAGCCAGTACGGCACCTTGTTTGCGTGTGGACATGTCTAAGTGCAGACAACTGAGAAATGATCAGCTTCCATCTATCAAAAGAAAGGAAAACAACCCTCATTGGCACCTGCTCTTGTTGGCCTCATGCTGCGTGTTCCTGTGTTTGTCAGACCCTCAGAACAGCCTGACTTGCTACCCAGGCCCCGGGGAAGAAATGCTTCTTTCCCCTTGTTTACAAAAGTAGAAACTGAGGCTCACGGGACTTCCCAAAGTCACTGTGTGAGGACATGAGGCCACCAAGATTTGAGCTGAGGGCTCCTGACTCCAAGTGTGGGGCCCTGTCGCCAGACCTACACACTTCTTTCATAGGTTCCTCAGCCAAAGCCAGACACCTCCCCCGGCGCCAGGACAACGAGCATATATACAAGGCACAGATTTCTCATCAGAGCAGGATGGTTTGAATCAGCTACTTTAATGGAGTTACATGATAATCTTACTGCAACTATTTTCTGCTCTTGAACATTTTAGTGCTGCCAATTTTTCAACGCTAAGTATTTTTCTAATTTTCATCCATCATTTAATTTTTCTGACCTTTGCCACTGGTGCCTTTAATGTAAGAAAAGGGACTGTGTTTGAATGCAGATTTGCTTGAGCTCTACAAGGGTTTCTCAGGGAAAACTGTTTGGAAACGTTACTGATGGATGCTAATGGGGTCCTGAGTATCATGCACAGGGCAGGGTGCAGGGGACAGGGAGATGTTTTCTGTAACAGCAGAAAATACTAAACACTTTTATACTGTTTCATACCCATTCTATAATTCTAGAAAGCATGGCATACCTAAAAGCCTTGAAGGAAAGCATTGCCAGATTTGCCTTAAAAAAAAAAAAAAAAGGAAACTGTCTACATTATAAAAGATACTAAAGTAGTTGAAAAATGGGCAAAAGACACCAAGAAGTAAGCATGGAAGAAAAACTAATCAATAAAGACTTTTAAAAGGTGTAGCACCTTGACAAAGAAGTGTTAACTTTTTTTTTTTTAACCTGGTTGACTGGCAAAGATTAAAAATAGTCCTAGGGACACAGAGATAAGCCAGCCTGGGTCCCCCTACCCTGGAGTTTCACTCTGGTTGGAGAAAAGAGAGAGAGCTTATAGTATGGGCTCTGGACCACCTGAGTTCAGATAGAGGCTCTAACCCTTGCCAGTCATGTGACTTCAGGGGTGTCACCTAACGTCCCCTGCTCCAAGTTCCTCATCTATAAAATGCGGAGACCACCACTGACTGCATAGGTGTGCCGGGAGGACTGGGTGTGTAAATACACGGATGGGGCCCATGTGCTCAGGACACGCTGACCGGCAGGAGTATCCTGTCATCACTGCTACTCCAGCCAGGACTGTCTTGGAGCTAAACCTGGGTTTGGAGGTCCATTTATCTTCTGAAGTTGTAAGTAAGATTGTGTGAGTCTGCATTTTTCTGAATAGAGGGTCTAGAGCTTTCCCCAAATTCTTATAGGGATTGTGGACCCCAAAACATTTTAAAACACTTGCCTTTTCAAAAAGCCCTCTGCAGAAACGTCAAAGGTAAACTGCAAACATTAATGGCGCCCACAGAAGCAGCCAGGCTGGGAGCCCTGAGGCAGACCTTGCCACTCCCAGGGGTCTCTGGGGCCTCTTCTCGCCAGTGCTTCCCCCTGAGCACTCCAGGGCAAGCCCCCCAGGGGTGTGATTCTGCAGGCTGATGCTGGCTCTTCCATTCCCAGCATTCGTGTCAAACTGCCTCTCCACCTCTCCCGTGCCGCTGGCTTCTGACTTGGGAAAGAGCTCGAGGCCTCCCGCTCCTGCCGGATGCTCTGCTCCAGCTGTGGGGGACAGCCTCCCATTCTCTGCCTTGGTCCCTCAGGCTGTGGGCCGAACACAACCCAAACCTTTTCTTCTACACGAATGCTCTTTCTGGAGGTTTGGCCTCCGCGTCCCCAGGACGGAAGACGCACAGCCAAAGAAAGCAGCTGCACGGGCCACATCTGCTACCACGCCGGGGCCTGGGGTCCTGCCCCATCCCTCAGCGGGAAGAGGGCTGGAGAACGAGCGGACAGGTGCAAAGCCTCCCCCCTTGGAGGCTGAGAAGCCCTCAGGTTAACCGCCAGCAATAAGCGCCCACACAACCTTCCTTCTCAGTGCTATATTGGCACTGGGGACAGAGGGCAGCAAGACAGCTTCTGCCCCCGCATCAGGTTCCAGGAAAGATGCTCAAACACAGCTGCAAGGGCTCAGGAAAAGCCCACGTGAGACGTTAAAGACCACAGTTCCAAACTTCTCCTGTTTAACCATCATGTGTGGACTAATCAAGCCCAACTGCGACCAGGAAAGGATTTGAGAAGTTTGCTGTACACAGGAAAAGCTGAGTACACCTGCCACCGATGCCCGCTCACCCCCGCCATCTCCCCCCCACCCCCACAGAAGGGGGAAGGACAGGATTCCACAGGAAATTCCAGTTGGGAGAAGGCTGGTGAGGTCAGCTCCCCCCATGCTGGTCATCAGAGCAGCCCCCACCCTATCCTAGGCTTCCGCTGCCCCGCACGGCACCTGCCAGGGCTGGCACTCAATAAATACCTATTGAATAAACATACACATTCATAGAAAGAACAAGATGGAATTTTCTCAGCACTTTTGGTCTTAACTATCCTTGGCTTAAGGACTACTTTGGAGAGAAGCTGAAACAATGGGTGGCAGTGTTATTTATTTTAAAATAAGTACTTCAACGGTAGGTCTTGACAAACTTCTGGCCCTCCTCAGATCATTGAGGAAGAGCCCAGTTTCGTTGGATCTCGGTGACTGCAGCCGGCTCCGCTGGGGGCTGGGGCGGTCACCAGCTGCAGTAAAAGCTACGGGAGCTCCTGAGTCTCAGCAACACCCATTCCTTCTGACGGGGCTGCCCACGCGCAGTGGAGACACAGATAATCACAGAACCCAGCTCAGTTTCAGAAGTGAGCCATGGACTGAGATGTGTCCCAGACCCTGTCCTGTAAGTTCCTGGACCCGCTGAGAGGACAACCACCTCAGAATGAGCGAGCTCTGGGCACGTGGCCCTCAGCGAGCTTCCTTTGGAAAACATACAAACTTAGTTACCACAAAAGGTATTTGGAGACTAATGTCTGAATAGCAGAAATATCCTGAAATCCCTGGCCAAATCCCTGTGAAGCCATGGAAGTTCATTTACCAAAAACTGCAGCAACCGCCACCAAGCACTGTCACGGAAAAGGCAGGGGCGGGGTGAGAACCGCAGGCCTCCGGAAGAGCAGTGAAGCCATCTCACTGAGGGGACAAAGCCCTCGGGGCCACACAGTGTGGATCACACTGCTGTAGACTAGCAAGCATACATCTCTTTCTGCCAATACAACCAACTTCAAAGAAAAATCACTCCAGGAACTCCACACAAATGATCTCAGCAACCCTCACAACTTGAATGAAGCAAATACCATCTCCCTTCTACCAACTAGGGAACCTGATGACTTGGGAGAAGGCTCGCCCAAATCACACCACGAGGGAGGTAGGGGGAAAGTGGCCTCGAATCCAGGCATCCTGATCCCCCAGCTCTGGGCTCTGGTTTTTATATCACATTTTTTCTCAAACTTGCAAAACCAAAATGGGTCCCCTCACACTGCAGACTGGAGGTTGTGCCCACTTGGGGTGCAGATGGGGATGAGGGGAGGGGAGAATGCGACTCCGTGGCCAGGTGACAGGGAGGTCTGTGACATGTGCACACCTCTGTCCCCAGGCCCATGGAGAGACTGCCTGCAGGCCCTGGAGGACGGCCACGACACCAGCTCCATCTACCTGGTGAAGCCAGAGAACACCAACCGCCTCATGCAGGTGTGGTGTGACCAGAGACATGACCCTGGGGGCTGGACAGTCATCCAGAGGCGGCTGGATGGCTCTGTCAACTTCTTCAGGAACTGGGAGACATACAAGGTGAGACTGCAGGGCCTGCTATGTGGCCACCCCAGCCAGTAAATAGCCATGCGCAGGACAGGTGTGCGTGACCTGTGAGGGCCTGTGTGGCCCCAGACAGCAAACACCAGAGGTGAGAAGGACACCAACCGGGCCAATTTTGCACACCCACCAGGGATGGTGAGGGCGAGCAGGTCCTTCCCTGCCTGCCACTGGCAACCACTGCAGGGCACCAGTTAGGAGCCCAGACGCAGAATCCCACGCACGGGACTGGCGGCTCCTCAGCCCAGCCCAGGTGGAGGAGCATCTTACTAGCAGCTGGGCTTCCCTGGGGAAGACCTGTTTCCACAGCCCAGAAGGGGTAAGCCCCAGGGCCTGCCGCAGGGAACTATGGGAATACTAGGGTGCTAGTCCCAGCGCTCCTCCGGGCGGCTCTTCCCCTGGACTCCCAATTCCCAGGTAGCGGAATGCTCAGCCTTGTGGTAAGACAGGCTGCTTGGGCTCGGCTGCACATTAGCCTCCCTCCTCTAAACAAAGAAGTGGGACCAAAGACAGCAAGAGTGCCGCACCACGCTGAGGGCTTCCATTTTTACCTCTTTAACTTCATATCAGCCCTGCGAGGCCCAGGTTACAGATGAAAAGAAGAAACAGGTTGCACAGCAGGAGGCGGCAGAGCAGAGCCTGGAGCCCAGGCCTCTGATTCCAAAGCCTGCAGACTACCTGGGCCGGGACGCCTGCACGGGGCTCTGCTCGCTCCCTTCCTGTCCTGGTTGCCTTCCTGCCGGGGTCTCTGCTTTCTTCTCCTTCTTCTCTACCTCCTGCTGCAGAAGTCCCCGTAGACGTACCCCTGACCCCCTCCTCCTCTCCATGTTCTCTCTCAGAGGCAGTAGAGCACAGTGGGTAGGCCTAGGTTCTTGGTTCAATTCTGAGCTCGCCCTGAGGCGCTCTGTGACCCTGGGCCTCAGTCCACCCATTCTAGGGAGGACATAATAGCACCTAGGTTGCAGAGTTGGCACAAGGATTAATAAAATGACCCCTGTAAAGTTCTGATAACAGTGCTGGCACACCACAGGTGCTCGCTAAATACTAGCTATTATTATCATTAAAGAACCCGTCAATTTTGAAGACTCCAAATGACTATCACTTGACTGATGACACCCAAAACTACATGTAAAGACATTACAAAACCACTGGGTTTTAGACCCTGAAGAGAGCCAGGTGGGCGTGGCATACATTTGTCGCAGCTCCTACGTGCCTGATATGTCAGAGTTTCCACAGAACCCTGACACTCAGCCCGCCCACAGGGAAGGAAACTGATGCCCAGGGGAGGTAAAAGGTCTGTCCAAGGGACTCCTGTTGTCTGCCTGCTGTGTGCTAGGCTCTCAATGTACCGTAGCACATGTGTCCAAGAGGAACTCTGGGGAAAGTAACCTGGCATCACCGTGTTCACCCAGTGCCCAGCACACAGCAGGCACTCTCTGAGTGGTCTTGATCACTGATGCGTGACTGAGGCTCAGGCGGGCAGAGTGACTCATCAAGTCACAGCCAAGTTGGGGAGAGGGCATTTGAGCCCAGCCCTGCCTTATGCTCTGCCCGTTTCCAGGCCCTTCTGTCCAGGGCTGAGCATCCCACAGCTGGGCCTGCTGGCTGGGGGCCCTGCCTCTCCCTCACTGATGCTCTCCCACGTTTTCCCCAGCAAGGGTTCGGGAACATTGATGGCGAGTACTGGCTGGGTCTGGAGAACATTCACTGGCTGACGAACCAAGGCAACTACAAGCTGCTCGTGACCATGGAGGACTGGTCTGGCCGCAAGGTCTTTGCAGAATATGCCAGCTTCCGCCTGGAGCCCGAGAGCGAGTATTATAAACTGCGGCTGGGGCGCTACCATGGCAACGCTGGCGACTCCTTCACCTGGCACAACGGCAAGCAGTTCACCACCCTGGACAGAGACCATGATGTCTACACAGGTAGGACCCGTGGTCAAAACCAGGTGCAAGGCAGGGAAAGGTCAACCAAAGCCAGAATCTCTGACTCCAGGGCCTGGGAAGGAGAAGATCCCAGGGGCCAGCAGCCTGGCCCTGCTCCTGCCCCGTCAAGGTCCATTCCCTTGCCTACAGCGTACAGATTCCCTTGGCAAAGCTGGGTCAGAGTGACATTTACAAAAAGGTTAAGGTAAAGAGGTGTACAAATTACACATTCAAGGGTCAGTCTGGGCCAAGCCAGGTGTTGCGCTGGGCTGTGTGCTCACATCTCCTCTCTGAGAAGGAAACTGAAGCTGTCAGGGCCGCACATCCTCATGGGCTCTGGGCCACACACCTGGTTACCAATGCTGGCCCACCTCCTACCAGTGTATGCTTGGGCATGCTACTCAATTCCTCTGGGCCTCATTGCACATCTGGAAATAAGGACAATACCTGCCTTGCAGGGTGGTGAGAAGGTCACAGAGAATGTACTTGAAGTGCTTTGTCTGGGACTTGGCAAACAGGGTTCAATTCAAGTGGGCTCTCTTTGTGGTTACTGTAATTAGCACGTACTGTTAATACAGTGCTGTAAGGGAGCTACTAAAAGGAAACCAGGTAGGAGAAATGAAGTGATTTGTCCAAGATCACATGTCTCAAATCCATATCGTTGCTAAGAAGTGTTTGCTAAATGAAAAACACAGGAGAAAAAGAAAACTACAAATTTTAAGATATAGTCCAGCTCTGAGTCCAGATATCAAAATGCCCAAGGGTACTGCCTCTCAAGGTCCCACACCCCGTTTCCTGACGTGAGGGCCTCTGGGCCCTAGCTGGTAGCCAAGTCCTCAAGGCCTCGCTCCTCCCTGAGGGGCCAACCCCACCTCCAGGCCAAGGCTGCCCCAGCTCTCCGTTCAGTCCTGGCCTGAAGGACACCCTCTCCCCTTGAGCACTGTCCCAGGAATCACCTGCATTTCAGGCAAGCCCCGCTGCCCCCAGACTGAGGAGGGAGGTCATCACTCCAGGTTGCCATGGCAGCCAAACTCCCGCCGACTGTTCTCCCAACACGGGGGACATGCAGACACCCTTACCTATGCACTATCACTGAAGCGGCCCCTGGAGAGGCAGTGTGTCTCCTTAGGCCTTCAAGAGCAGGGCGGAAACACCCTTACCTATGCACTATCACTGAAGCGGCCCCTGGAGAGGCAGTGTGTCTCCTTAGGCCTTCAAGAGCAGGGCGGAAAGAGGACCCTCAGAGCTGGTCAGACTCTGGGGACAGGGTGTGGTACAGCATTTCTTGAAGGCCATCACGTGGAACAGGGCAAAAACTGTTCTATGACCCCACCATCAAGCCTGTCCTGCAGCAGCAGGTGGACAACATGGAAGTGAGTGCCTTGTCCCTGGAGGTGTTGTGCAGGGCAACCTTAGAAGGGGCCTCCATTGGCAAGTGGGAGGCCAGCTGTGGGATATCAAAACCTGCTCTGCTCTCCAAGTCCAACACTGCTGCTCAGTCCTGGTGGCCCCGAGGAGTCCGAGGAAGCCCCTGGAGAACCCGGGGAGCCTCGCCCGAGTGTCCCCACAGCTTTCTGCCCCAGCGGGCATGCTTCCTCCTCACCTCACACCAAGCCCCTGGCTGGATCAAGGTGGCTGGCTCCACAGAACCTCCCAACACACAGACTTGACGGGGCAGCCCTTTCCTGAACGTGCTCACCGTCCTAGGCCTGCTCAGGAGACTAGGGACCCCCTCTTTTAACTAAGAGTGGGGCAAGCAGCCACTGGCTTCTCTTTCTCCTCCTTCCCGTGAGGGGCAATGCCCCTGCGTGCCTGCTAGTACCTTGCCCACACTTTTACTCTTGTTTGAACTGCTTGTCCTTGGCAGCAAAATCCAGCATGATATGATAGTGCCAAAAGTTCTATGAAAATATCTGTCTTTTATAAAAATCATAACAAAAACATTTGGCTGGAATACTGGGTGGGGAGGAACAGAGAAGCATTTCATCCTAAACACTTCCTCTGTCATTCTATAAAGACTGCATCCGACAGCTCAACTCTAAACAAAATTCCTAAGAACCCTACTGCCTCTAACCCGTCCACCTCAGGTCATATTCATTTCTCTTAAACCTGCAGTGGGGGGCCCTCCCAGCCTCCTCTGCACCAAGCCTGGGCCCCCACTCAGTTCCCACTGCAGGCAGTCCTGTGCGGCGGCATCAGGTTCAGCCTCACTTCCCAAGAATTCGAGCGTTTGGAGGCTGGCTCAGTGAGGTTAAGTCATCTGCGCCAAACCACACAGCTCCTTGGTGAGGAAGCCGCGCCTCAACAGCAGCCCAAGCCCAGTCCTCCTCTCAAGCATTCTTGCTCCAAGTGCCCCAGAAAGAGTCTGCTGAGGTCCCCGAGCAAACAGTGGGTTTGGGTAGTAACATCTCTTCCCCGAGACCTTCTCACTCCCTTCTTTCCGGCAGGAAACTGTGCCCACTACCAGAAGGGAGGCTGGTGGTACAATGCCTGCGCCCACTCCAACCTCAATGGGGTCTGGTACCGCGGGGGCCACTACCGGAGCCGCTACCAGGACGGAGTCTACTGGGCTGAGTTCCGCGGCGGCTCCTACTCGCTCAAGAAAGTGGTGATGATGATCCGGCCCAACCCCAACACCTTCCACTGAGCCAGCTCCCCTCCTGACCTCTCGTGGCCGTCACCAGGAGCCTGCCTGGCCGTGCTGGTCCAGCACAAGAGCATCTCATCACCAGCTCACCTTGGGGCCAGGAGGCTGGGGACGCTGGGTTCTGTCTCCCCAAGCCGCTGTGGCAGATGATGGAACCGAATCGACACAGTATTCTCTGTCCCTACTACTTTTCTTCACACCGGACAGCCCCTCATGTTTCCAGACAGGACAGGAATGCAGACCAGTCTTTCTTTAAATAAATTAAAGCCCTACAAGAAAAACACAACTGCAAAATATCTTCATAATACACATATGCACAGGCGACCTTGTGCATTTATGTGTATACCACATATATATGCACTTAGATATATAACACATGCAATGTATCTGGATACATATATGGGTTTGCCTTATATACCTAAATACACATATATTCAGTTCTCAGATGTTGAAGTTGTTACCAACAGCTTTGCTCTTCGGAGAAAAATGAAATATGAAAATATGTTGTTCATATTGTGTTACTTGAGTCTAAGAGCAGATCACAGTCTATGTAGCTCCAATTCAAAGAATAATTCCTGGCATCCGTGTGCGTGGATTCTTCTAGGAATGTCTACAGTGCTATTCTCCCACACAGGGGTTCCCTTCCTCACTAAGAACCCCTTTGGGCACCTAATCAGATTTCAAAATCCCCCTCCCTCTCCATTTCCACACTTCTCCCCATTCTCAGGACTCCTCTCTGTCCATCCGTCATCCATCCATCCAACCACCTGCTTCTTCCTTCCCTTGCCACCACTCGTTACATGTCTTCAGCGTGCCAGCCCCTGCCCACTCGTGGCTCCGGGCACCTTTTCTGCCCCTCTCTGCTCTCTGCTGACCTGCCCCTTATCTCTTCTGATGCGCCATCTCTTCTTTCCAGGCAAGAGTCCTCAGCCTCTGAATAGGAGACAGTCTGGGCTCCAGGTTTCTGGTCAGGAAAGGGCAGGCCAGGCCCAAAAGCAAACTACTGGCCACATAGATAATGTATTCGCAGTTTTGTATCTTCCATTCACACGTTAGCCTACATGTCATTTTAACCTTCACAGAAATAATAACCTTCTTTGCCCAGAAGATACTCAATTGAAGAGAAGTCATCACCCGAACGTTGGGGCCCCCATATGGCTACAGACCAAAGGTCCCATGCTCTCAGGCCGACTAGAGTCAACATCTCGTCCCCAAACTACACGTCCCCAGAGAAAAAGTGCCGCACAAACGAGAACTGGCTGCTCCTCGTCAGTCACTAAATAACCAGGAGCCGTGGGACCTCTCGCTTGGTGTGTCGCCATGTGGTGGCCTTCTGAGTCCTGCTGGCCACGAAGTGTCAGACTCAGTATGACCAGGACTATTGCCACGAAGGGCGCAAGAGATGCGTGGGGGAGGTGAGGTCCTCCCCGGTGGGCACGTGTGTCGGGGCGTGCGAGATGTTGGCACGTTGGGTACTGTCCATGTCTGGGTGTGTGCCTATTACCTCAGCATTCTCACAAAGTGTACCATGTAGCATGTTTTATGTATATAAAAGGGAGGTTTTTTTTAATATATTCCCAGATTATCCTTGTAATGACACAAATCTGCAATAAAAGCCGTCAGTGCTGGGTGGATGCATCTATACTGTGCGTCATTGTTTTAGAATGCCTTCCTGGGACCTCCGATATCAGAGCCTCCTTAAGTGACACCAGGAAGAGACTCAGCACCAGGGACACACCCCAGAATCACTGAAGTCACACTCTCCCTGGGTTTGGTTTCCACCTGTGCCCTCAGGAGGCCCAGGACAGAACCTCAGGCCAGGACGGTTCTCTGGAGCTCTGCCTCCTTACTTCCAACCACATCCTGAGCATCGCCGCTGCGCCTCCCGGAGTACCTCCCAGGCAGTGCAGGCAACACGGGAAACACCTTCCCCCAGATCTGGTACCATGTCACCGAACGGCATCCACTTGTTCGGTCGGTTCAAAACCAAGGACTGCCCTCCCCCTGGCCAAAGTCAACCATTCCTCCATCACCTTCTCCCAGAGAAGAAAAGCAAGCCCTCTTCTCTACCTTAGCATCTCCTCGTCACTCGGCTCCTGCAGCAGGCTCCCCACCAGCAGCGCTGAGCCTCTGTCCCCCTCATTCCAGTCTGACTTCCGCACTGCTGCCAGGACTGCCTGCCTGGCAAATAAATCTGCAGGTTGGGAGGGTATCTCTAGGCATGACAGGAAACCCCAAAGCCATGAAGGGAAAGGCTAAGGGATATGACTAAATAAAATCCCAAATTTCCTGTCCTCTGAAAAACAAAAGAAAACAAAACATGACTGTGATTGAAGGCAAATATCAAATGCCTTCTTGGGACCTCCTATATCAGAGCCTCTTCGGGTGAAACCAAGGGTAAAATATAGGATTAATACTCATGCTCTACCATGAACTCTCTCAAAGAAAGAAGATACAAACACTGTGTCTTGGTAAAGTATACAGACACATTAGAGACTCGCAAATGGCCAGTAAACAAGGTGCCAACTTCATTAATAACCAGAGAGGTACATTAAATCAAGCACATCGCATGGTGCTGCCACACTGTTAAAGATGAAGAAACGTCAAGCTCTGCATTAACAAGAGAATGGAGAAATATGGACTCTATGTACTATGGGAGGAAGTATAAATTGATTCCATATATTTGAAGAGCAGTTTGGCAATGTATGTATCAAAATTTTAAATGCCCTTATGCCTCTGGGTCAAGCAGTCCCTCTTCTTAATGACCAAGCAGTATTGCCATCAGAGAGCTTTTACAGGCAGTTGCAATTGAGGGGAGACTGATGCTTCCTGACGCCTACTGTGTGCTCAGCACCAAACTTACATTTTCTTATGTAGCCCTCACAGCAACCCCGTGAGGACAGATGGTTTCCACTTTCTAGGAGAGGGAAAACTGAGGCTCATAGACAGATGGCTGATAAAAATGCGGGAGCCACAGTTAATGCAGGAAGTGCTGGGATTCAGATGCTAAATAAGAGTTCTCAACTCCCCCCAGATCCCTAATCAGCTGTTGGAGCCATCAGCTGTCAGATGCTCCTTGGTGAGAATATCTCAACCTTGGCCCAGACCACAGCCACGCCTCCCTGCATACCTGCAGTGGAGTGTGTAGACTTAAGGGTCAACAGGGAGAGGAAAACAGGTCCAACCTTACCAGTTACGGATCCTGGGTTGAAACAGCAAAACAGAGCACTCTAGAAAGCCATGTTGGACAAGGTGAAAAAACTCTATTTCCAAAATAGCTGGGATCCAAACAAAAGCAGGCCATGGCACTATTTCTCCCAACCCCCGCCCCAATACCCAAACCTGAGTCTTGGACACACCACACCCTGGCTGTAGGTAAGGAGCGGAAGGAATAAGCCCAACAGATATGTGGAACCAGCTCTCCTTGGACTAAAATGGTGGTGGGGGTGGGGGGACTCGAAACTGCCCTAGCCAAACCCCCACATCCCAGCCTGAGCTGAAGCCTTGGTCACTGGGGGGAGCCCACCTGCTGGGCTCATGGGCAGACATGGCAGGAAGACGGTGATGGTCTCTAAGCAAGCGACACTGTACAGGACCCCCTGCCCCAAATCTTGCCAATTTGAGCAAGACTGAAAGAGAAACCTTCAAACTACTGAAAATAATGATAAGTCGTCCTCAGATGCTCATAATCCACAGACGCTCTTTGGGAGCTCAAGGGGTTCTCCCTTCCTCCCAAGACCAGCTCATGTTCGTTACACAGTCTTGTAAAGACTCTTGCTTTATGCTAAGAGAAAGCCAGACCACTGGATTAAACAAAAAGGGGACATTTTAACAAAATGTTAAACATGCACCCTTTCTGCCTTGGTTTTTTCAGATTCCAAAGCCTAAGAACAAGATAATAGCTGCCAAGTGTCTCACATTCTAGAGCAAGTATGATGCCATCCTGTGAAGGGGGGTGACCCCAAACCAGCCTGGCAGAGAAGTGTAGAAAAAATACCCTGGGGTGGGGAGGCTGAGTTGTCCCTGTGCTATGTTCCCCACCACCACAAGGAGGGTGGGTGCGCCCCTCACCCTAAGCCAAGTGAGAGGGACCACGAGGGACATTCCAACACCTCACGGCAAGGGCGAGAGTGAGCACCACTATGTGACTCACGCCTCGGGTCTGCAGGCCTGGGGCAGAGCAGGGGGAAACAGGACTGCGCCAGAGCAAAGGGCACGCCCACAGCGCAGGCAGGGAGGCCTCCTAGGAAGCAGAGGGCAGCCTGGATGGCGGGGTCGGGGCGGTGCAGGAGGCCCGGGAGCCAAGGACCGAGCCCCAAGTGGTCAGGTGCAGGAGGAGCAGTGCCCCAGCGGGGCAGCCGAGTCAAGGGTGCCCGGCAGGGGCATTGGGACGCAGCAGCAGCGGAGGGGAAAGAGCAGCCTGGGCTCAGGCATGAGCTCTGCATTCTGACTGCCACACGACAGGGACCCCCTTTCCCCCTCCCTCTCCCGTTCCAGCCCCAAGGGTCGTACACTCAGTGGGCCCGTGGGGCGGCAGGAGGACCGCGGGATCTGTGTGGACACTGCGTGTGCCCTCCCAGCAGGCTCCAGTCTGGTCAGGCTTTAGGAGTGGAATGGTTAGACTGGGCTGGGCTTCCTCATGCCTGACAGAAGAGAGACAAGGGGCCTGCTAAGTTTTCAATGTCGATTAGGAAAAGAACCAGTCACAGAGAGGCTGGAAAGGATGGTGGGGAAAAAGCAAAGTTGGTTTCTTCTTACACCTGATCGAGTCCAGCTCATGTAATAAGCTGGTTACATAAGGACACGAGGAATCTCCCGGAGGCCATGAGCAGGGACGCAGCTGGGCCTCGCCAGGGCCAGGAGTCAGACACCGTCTGGAAGGGCTTCAAGAGCCAAGGCAGTGGCTCTCTCACTCCTTTCCCTTCGCCCTGCTCGCAGGCTGTCTTTCTGTCTCTCACGGCACTTCCATCTGCTTTCCCCAGCATGGAGTTCCTGAGCTCACATGTCCTCCCGGTCTGAGTGCAGCAAAGACTGCGAGCATCTCCCTATTCTGATGCTCACTCGGCACCAGGGGTTCAGACTGGCCCGCTGGGTGGGGCGTCTGCCTCAGTCTATCAGCTCGGGCCTCAGAGCAGAGCTGGGCAGGAGGAGGACGGCCCTGGAGTTCAGTACGGTGGCAGCAGCGCCAGGCAGCCCCCCGGGAGTCAGGGGCTGTGTCTACATTCAAAAGGTGTCCAGACTGTATATACTCTAGCTGTTGTTGGTCCCCTTCCCCTCCGGGGACCGTATTTTGCCAGCAAGTTGGATTCCATCCCATTACTAGGTAGATCATGCCCCGTTCCCCAGCTGGCCCCTGCTGACCCCTGCCCTACCCCAAAAGCACACCCAACCCTTCCAGCCCAGAGGGATCACTGGCATACCTGGCTGTGCCCACATGGGGCTCCTCCTGCCCTTCCTGGGCACACTGAGTTTCTCAATAGGCTCTGTGGCTCCAGGCGGCAACAAGGTCCCTGCTGCTGGAGTCTTCCCAGCAGGGCTTTGCTCTGGGGACACTCGCGCACCTACCGTCCGTGGGGTGCTCTCCAGGGGCCAGGCGCCAGGCACGTCTCTCTAAGCCTCACAGCAGTTCTGTGAGGTGGGTCCTGTAACTGCCCTCTCGTTGACACAACAGGAACTGAGGCTCACGAAGCCGGGCCCCGGGCCCCGTGCTCCCGCCGCGGCAGCACCGGATCGCTGTCCCCAGGGGTGAAATGAAATAGCAAAGGCTCTTCTCTTACACCATCACTCCCGGTACAGCTGGAAACACAGTGGCACGGGGCCTCCTGCCCACCGCAGCGGGTGCGTGACGAAGCTGGCCGGCCTACCCGTCCAGAGCTTCCTGCACAATTTATCTCAGAGCAGTGGGCACAGAATGATAGGCAATAGTAGGGGACTAGGTAATAGCTTCTCAGGGCTGAAGCAGCCAGGCCCTGCCTTTCTCCCTTCTTGTGGGAAGAGCAAGCCATGTGTCCTGTGTCCTATAACCTGTAGGTTGCAGAGCTCAGCCCTGCCCCTTGGCACTCATACTGTCCCACTTGTGCTGCTCTGGCTGTCACCTTGTGCACCACTTCTACCTGGCCCAAGCCCTGGTCCTCGCTGTCTGTAACTGGGCCCCTCCTGAGATGGCTCATCTCCCATCTCCGTGCCTTCTCAGTTGGTCTCTCTCAGATCAGACCTGAGCCAGCCCTAGTCTGGGATTCTGCCACTTGTGGACAAAATGACTTGGTACCAACCATCACCACGACTTCAGGTATCCCAGTCTCTCCTCACCAGGGGTTACCCTGGGCCAGCTCAGCCCACACATGGGAGCCCAGACACAGATAATCCCTTCCGTCTGTGCAGCCTTCCCAAAGCACTTGCACAGGCAGCCCCTCCCAGGCGGGCAGCCCCCTGGCTGTGCGCCACCTGCTCATGGACGGTCATGATGAATCCTGCCCCATGGGCTAGTCAGAGGGTGCTCCCTCCCTCTTTTCTTCAGCACATGCACCCTCCTGAATCTGAGGGACGTCTCATAGTAGAAGAAGAGAGCTCCTTGGACAAGAGTGGACAAGCCACATTTGCCCTGACCCTGAGCAGAGCAGGAAGTGCCCAGAGCCTAGAAGA